GAGACTCAAGGCCGGGAAGATGGGTGGTGATGAATCGGGTAGAATAGGATCGATTATATGACTTGTAATAGCTTATATGCAAACTCATAAGTTGTATCGAATCCTTTTAAGTATCTAATAAAGTATCAGATTCTTTGTTTACTCTATTATCGCATATTGACTCTAAGTAATGAATCTCAGAATATCGTAAATCGGATTGTCTTAAGGAAATGGCCCTAAAATTTGACTAAGGATTGGATCACTTAATGATTTGGTCGGAGAGAACCTCTCCGGACTTAGGCAGTCCGGATCGGGGTCTTTAAAGGTTCTCTCCTCTATGGATCCTGATCAGTTCGAAGTATTTGAATTGTTGGGATAGGTTTTTGACTAGGTCAAGGTACGCTTCCATGCGCTCGTCTTTAGCTTCGTATTCTCCGTGGAACTAGCTAGTGACGAGTTGAGAGTAGCTATGTGCGTTTATTTCTTTGTTCCCCATGCCCAAGGCTAGTCTCATACCGGCAAATTGGGCTTCGTATTTGGATTCGTTATTAGATGCGTTGAATCCGAGTCGAAATGATTGATCGAATACCTCTTCTGTGGGAGAGGTGAGTTGTATTCCAATTCCGGATCCTTATCAGTTTGACGACCCATCGCCGAGGAGGCGCCACCTTTTATTGAGGTCAGCATCCTTCAGGTCTGTAGCTGAGAGTTCAATTACGAAGTCTACTAAGACTTGTGCCTTTAGGCTGGTTCTGGTTCGATACTCAATATTATATTCGCTTAATTCAATAGCCCATTTTGCTAGTTGTCCTGACTGGGTAGGGCTATGTAGGATGACCCGGATACGTTGAGATGTCATGACCACGATGGAGTGCAATTTGAAATAGGTTATGAGCTTCCGAGCTGATATGACGAAGGCTATAGCTAGTTTTTCCATTGTTGGGTAGCAGGTTTCAGCATCTATAAACGTTTTGCTCACGTAGTAGATGGGTTTTTTGCCCCTCGTGGTCTTCTCTGACCAAAACACCTCTTATTGTCGTTTGGGAGACCGCCGTCTATAGATACAGTGGTTCTCCTTCTTCCGGTTTTGCTACTATAGGAGATTCGGTTAGGTAGGTTTTCAATTGTCTGAAAGCCTGTTCGTTTTATTCGTCCCATTAAAACTTTCGATGTTTTTGTAGAAGTTGGTAGAAGGGGAGACATTTGTCGGTGTACCAGGATATGAATCTGCTGAAGGCGGCGATTCTACCGGTCAATCGTTGGACCTCACATGCCCTTTTTGGCGATGGCATCTCGAGAAACGTGGAGATCTATTTAGGGTTGTCTTTGATGCCTCTGTCGGTGACTATGTAGCCGATGAATTTTCCTAAGGGAACTCCGAAAGAGCATTTCTCGTGGTTAGTTTCATCTTAAATTTATTGAGTACCTCGAAAAATGCCCTTAGCTTGAGGGCGTGGTCTTTTGCTTGAGCCGATTTGACTAGCATATCGTCGATGTAGACCTCCATTATTTTGCCTAGCTGGTCGGTGAACATTCTGTTTACCATGCGTTGGTAGGTCGCACCGGCATTTTTTAGGCCGAATGGCATTAATTTATAGCAGTAGGTGTCCCAGTATGTTATGAAGGCTATTTTTTCTTGGTCGTCCGGGCGCATAAATATATGGTTGTACCTGGAGAACGCGTCCATGAAGGATAGTAGCAGGTATCGCGCAGTAGCTCTGACTAGTCGATCTTTGTGTGGGAGCGGGAAGCTGTCTTTGGGACATGCTTTGTTTAGGTCAATGAAGTCGATAAAATACTCTCCACTTTTGGTTTTTCTTTTTTACTACGACGGGGTTGGCGAGCCAGTCGGGGTATTTTACCTCCCTTATCGACCCTATTTTCAGTAGCCGATCCACCACTTCGTTCACGACTTTGGCCCTCTCGGGACCTAGCTTGCGACATTTTTGTTTTATGGGTCGGAAGGTTCGGTCGACGTTGAGCTCGTGGGAGGTCACGTCGTAGCTTATTCCTCGTAGGTTAAAGCTTTTCTAGGCAAAGTTGTTTTTTTTTGTTTAAGGAAGGAGATGAGGTCCTCACAGATCGGGGGTTCTAGGTCGGAACCTATTCTTACGCACCATTTGGGATCTATTTCATCGATACATATCTGATTGAGTAGCACTTTTTGAGGACCATGCTTGGTCGGATCGGAGGACCTTGCAACCTGCCTTTCGGTGAGTGTGTCCTCTATCATTAGTTGCTAAGGGGCGGCTTTCCTGGTTTCTACGTAGCCTCCATGTAACATTTACGGAAGATCCATTGGCCACCGTACACGGTCGCTACTCCTCTGCTAGAGGGAAATTTTACGCATTGGTGGTAGGTAGACGGGACGACTTTCATGGCGTGTAGCCAAGGTCGTCTTAGTATTATGTTGAAGCGGGCGGTTTTGTCGACCATGATGAAGTTCATGACTTTTCTTACCCCCCTAAGGATGGTAGGGAGCCAGATAGTCCCTAGGGAGAAGTTCGTTTCTCCGGAGAATCTGGTCAGCGGTGTTTTTCTGCCTTGCAGCTCGGAATTGAGGTGCCCCATTTTCTTGAAGGTATCATAAAAGGGTACGTCGACCGAGCTTTTGATATCGACCATGATCCGCGACGGTACGCAGCTGCCAACGTCGATTTGGATGACGAGGGCGTCATCATGCGGTTTATCGAGTTCGGTGCTCTCGCTTTCCCAGAAGGTGATTTGGTGGTCAGATCTATGCATGGGATTTTTGTAAGGTCTCATCCCCGACTAAGTTAAGTCCGGAGAGGTTCCCTAGAACCGATCACTACTTGACCCGATCCTTAATCCGATTTTTAAGGTCCATTCCTTATAACAATCGTTTTATATCATATTCTGTTATTCGATACTTAGAGTCTATGTGCGATGATTAGAGTCTATATGCGATCGTAGAGAACACAAACAATCTGGATACTTTATTAATAAGTAAAAGATTCGGAATAACTTTTGAGTTTGCATATAAGCTATTGCAAGTCGTACAATCGATCCTATCAACCCGGACTTTATCACCACCCATCTTCCCGGCCATGAGTCTCTCGAGCCTAAGCCGATCCCTTTCCACGATCACCATCTTTTCCTGAAAACATGGCTGCATAAGTAATCAGATTTACTCTACGAATGCAAGTCCATGCAATGCAGTTCCGATAATCACTTAGTTTGGGAAACGGATTACAGAGAGGAAGTAATCGCATCAGTTCGGCCTAGTGATCATGCTGGCTGACTTGGTGATTTATTGGATGAAATCTTACGATGTGATTGTTGGAATGGACAGGCTTGGGAAGCCCAAGGCACACTTAGACTGTCATCGCGGGCGAGTGCGGTTTTAGACTACCGACGGAAAGTTACTGGAGTATCAAGGAATCAGACCAACGTCATGAAGTTTGATTATTTCGGCAATTCAGGATGAACGGATGATTGAGAAGGGTTGTGAAGCATACTTGGCGGCCATAACTACTGCGGAAGTTGGGCCGGATGCTAAGCTTGAAGAATTCCAGTTGCTAAGGATTTAGCAGACGTGTTCTAAGCTTTGACTGGTTTACCTCCGAGTATATTAGATTTGTTTACTATTGAGCTGGAGCCGGGATCAAATCCGATTTCTCGGGCACCTTACAGGATGGTGCCGTGTAACCACCTGTTTTCTTGGGTCGGTTCGTGACAGTCACATTGCTTTCGTGGGGCCATTCCACTAGGACAGGTGATCGTGCTTTAGTGAGGGGCGTTCAAGACTCAGGTTGGAGAGTCTCTTTGGAGTTAGACAGAATAACTAGGGTGGAGTATGAGTGTCTGTCGCTGATCGAGGATCAGAATCAGAAGAGAGGATTAGACCATCCCTGCACAAATTAGTCGTGATCTGAAACTGATAACCTGATGAGCCCAAGGTAGGGCGAAACCAGTTGGAGATGGTCGATGGTAGGAAGGCTGGGTCGGACAATACTGAGATTGTCGACCGCCGCACAGTCTTCTGAGAAAAGCCCGTGACATGTGGTATCAGAGCCAAGAACGTTGTGTTTTGTCTGTGCCCAGCGCCTGTAATGAGACTTGTAAGCGGGGAGCCTTGTTCGGTGGCGTAGAAATGGTGAGGGCGAGGTGTCCGTGAAGACCAAGGCAAGGTGCCGAGTCATCGATTTGAAGTGGGGATGAAGGGTTACCTCACAATGACACAACGTACGATCTTGAGGATTCTTCCCGTGCACGATGGCGTGCACATTGATGGGTAGGGGAAAATGTCACGACCCATTTTTTTGGGTCGGTTCGTGATAGTCACGTTGCTTATGTGGGGCTATTCCACTAGGGCAGATGATCGTGCTTCAGTAAGGAGCGTGCAGGACTTAGGTTAGAGAATCCCTTTGGAGTTAGACAAGATAACTCGGGTGGAGTTTGAGTGTCTGTCACTGATTGAGGATCAGACTCAGAAGAGAATATTAAGCCATCCCTGCACAAACTGGTTGTGATCTGGAGCCGATCACCTGATGAACCCTAAGTTAAAGAAGCAGTTGAGCGAGCTGATGGAGAAAGGTTTCGTGAAAAAGAAAGAGGGGAGTTTCAGACTTTGCATCGACTACCGTGGGTTAAACCGAGTTACTGTTAAGAACAAGTACCCTCTTCCGAGGATAAATGAGTTGTTGGACCAACTCCGAGGTGCTACTTGTTTCTTAAAAATTGATTTAGCTTTGGATAATCATCAAATCCTGATAGCCGAGTTAGTTATCTGGAAGACCACCTTTCAGACAAGGTACGGTCACTATGAGTTTGTTGTCATCAGTGTTCAAAAAAGCGCTAGGCGCTAAGCGGGCGGCGACCCTCCACCTAGCGCCTAGAACGCCTAATCAGGGCCTAAGCGATTTTTAGGCGGTTTAGGCGGAATTTCAATAAAATACTATGATAAATATAACATAACATAATAAAATAATCTGAATAAAACTACTTCAAAAATAATAAAATAATAATTTATGTTTACTAATAAAAGTGTAAAACATAAAATAAAATAGAATAAACAATAAATTTGAGTTTTAAAAAAATAAATAAACTCTAATGATGTTTCTAATCGTCATCTCATCACCCAATCTCCTTCTATAAACCATGCTCATCATCACACTCAAAATCAACGTTAATGTCTTCGCCATCATCATCAGATTCATCAAGCTCCCTAACCAAATCTTCATTTGTGGGTATGTCTTCTAGTTCCACATCAGCATCTTCAACAATCCAGTCTTGAGCATGAGCAGCAGAATCTGCAACTAGTATGTCCACATTCTTCTCCTTTTGCTTCTTTCTTTTGGCCAACAATCTCATGTTGAATTGGACAAACAAGATTGTTCAACCGTTTTGTATCAAGTTTATTTCGGTTTTTGGTGTCCACCTAATAAAATTTAACAAATGAGGGACAAGTCCACAATATTTGTTCATTTATTAAAAACATTTCTCTTGTAGTTTGAAGTACATACCCCTTCAAAAGTACTCCAATTACGCTCACATCCTGATGAATTAGTCGTCAAAGACAAAATCTTTTTTTGCCATTTATTTGTAGTTTGGGAACTTCAACTCCATAAAAGTTCCACCATTGAACTGAAAATACATAAGTTTAATTTATTTGTAAACTGTACATCGAAAATAAACAGAATTAAAAAAAATTAGAAAACATACTTGGATCATAATTTTCATCATTCTTGGAACATCCTTTAATGGCGGTTGGATGTCCAAAGTTTCCCTCTTTCTTTGTATACTTTGGAAGTTCGGTGTTGATGACAAATGTTTGAGTATTAACATCGTTTGGAAAAAACGCATCAACACACTTGAAAGTAGCAGTAATGACATCTCGGTCGAATTGGATAGTCGAATCCTTATAAAAATAATAAGGATTCAAAAAATATACCATCCAGTGAAGAGGACTATCAAGTCGATCTTTACCCTTTTCATCAATGATACCAAGTATTGGTCTGTAATTCTTCTCATGATTTCCTAGTGCCTTACATATCTCTTTCTTTGCCTCTTCTAACTCTCCATGTAGAAACCCCATTGTAGGCTTTTGATCTCCATCAACCAATCTAAGTATGCTAACCAAAGGTGCAAAGACTTTCAAGCACGTTTCCACACCATCCCAAAAATCCATACTCGTTGCTGTGTTACGGGCTGCAAGTCCTTTAACATGCTTTGCCCATTTACATTGATTCCATTGATTGCTAGCAAACATCATCTTTAAATTTTCTTCCTTCTCTACCAAACTTTTCAAAGTAAGAAAAGCCGATGCAAATCTAGTTATTCCAGGCCTCACAATATCTCTTCTCTGGGTAAAACTCCTCATCATGGACAAGGTCTGGTGATGGGCGTATATAAAAATGGTAAAATCTTTGGCCATTTTAATTGTTTCTTCAAACATAGCAAGTTTAGAAATGCCTTCTACCATCAGATTTATTGTGTGAGTTGCACAAGAAGTCCAAAATATGGTGGGTCTTGCCTCCTTTAACAACTTTGCAGCAACCATGTTGTTAGTGGCATTGTCCGTTACTACTTGAACTACATGATCTCCACCTAATTTTTCGATGCACTCATTGACGTATGCAAAGATATATTCACCTGTATGGGAATCATTAGAGCAATCTTTAGAGGAGAGAAACATTGTACCTTCTTTGCAGTTGATACACAAATTCATGATTGACCTTCTTTTTCTATCCGACCAAGCATCTGTCATTACGGAACATCCATTCACTTTCCACTCATCTTCTTGTTCTTTCATCAAACCTTTCACTCGATCAACCTCTTCTTTTAACAAAGGCTCCCTCAACTGATATTGACTAGGTGGAGTAACACCTGGTCCAAACTGTCCAGCAGCTTCAAGCATTCACTTAAATTCATCATTTGCAATAGCATTGAAAGGAATGCCATGAGAATACACCCATCTAGCAACGTATTAATGTACCGCATGTAATCTTTCTTTAGCAATAAGATTCTTGATATGTTGTTGTTGTGGTGTCAATATTGGACCTTTAGGAGTTTAAGGACTGATGCCTGAAGTAAATCTATCCATAGGACCAAGCATGTGAGCACTTTTGTTTGCTCCCATTCCTTCTACTTCAATTACTTCTTCATCCTCCTCTCGTTTTCCATCAACATTTACCATCTTTCGAGTTTCCAAATCTGCCATCCGAACTCTTTTCTTCTTGTTTTGTGCTTCTAGAATTGCTAACTTGCACTTTTCTTGGTCTTCTTTCTTAGAGTTTGGACAAGCTGCAACATTTCCTTGTATTCTAGCAACATGTTGCTTTAGTCTATATATTCCTCCTGAAAACTCCTTTCCACATAATTTGCATTTCATTTTGTCCAAATTGTTGGGATTTATCAACATGCCAAATTCCCAACCAACATCATTTGATTTTCTCTGCAAATTTGTAGTCTCTGGAACTGATGTAGAATCTGTTGCCGATGACGAAGCCATAACCTATAGACTTGAAAGAAAAGAAACCAGTCAACATAAAAAAGACGACCACAAGTTTGATAACTAATTAAATAATAAAGAACTTGATTACTAGCACTAAAGCTAAGAGTCACGAAGATTTGCACAAAAAAAAAAAAAAGCTAAGAGTCACGAAGAAGCATGTTCACATCATATTCCACAAGCAAATTAGAATTTGACAATTCCACATAACTAGAATCATTTTGTAAATTGATCGCGATTCGTAGAACATATTATATTACTTTGTAACAAAGGACCAATCACAGTAGAATTGTTATTATAAATTCTATTGAAAAACAAGATAACTTCATGAACAAACAACGAGCAAAAAATCATTATTTAAGTGAATAAAGATACAAAAACTGTTGAGAAGAAATCACCAATTATTTGGACTTTTAGAGCACAGAGTATTGTTTCCATCAGAGAAATAGAAACAGCGATTGAGAAGCAACCAGAATCGCTCTACGAGAAGGTCATAATTTAAAAGCAAAGAAGATGAATACGACTTGTCGATGTCTACAATGTTTTGGGAGGCGTTCTTTTTTCCTTTTAGGTTAATGAAAAGTCGAAAACCGACACAGTTTGAAGAATTAGATTAAAAACCTAAAAGCAACGTCGTTTAGAGAAGTTATTTTTTCAAAAAAAAAAATTAGAAATTTAGGCGGACTAAACCGACTAATCCCGCCTAACCGCCGCCAAACTTGCCTAACCAAACCGTCCGCCTATTAGAGCCGATTACAATGAAATCGGGACGGACAAGCACTGCCTAGCGCCTAGGCGGCCACCTAGGGCGATTTCTTGAACACTGGTTGTCATGCCATTCGGGCTAACTAATGCGCCTGCTGCTTTCATGAAGCTCATGAACAGCGTGTTCCGAGACTGCTTGGATGAGTTTGTGATCATCTTCATCGATAATGTTGAGGTTTACTCAAAAGATCTGGAGGAGCACAAGGTTCACTTGCAATCGGTGATGAGTAGACTGCGGGAATCTAAGTTGTATCCAAAGCAAAGCAAGTATAGCTTTTGGCAAAGGGAAATTGGGTTCTTGGGTCACATAGCCTCGGATAAGAGAGTGTCCGTAGACTTGGAAAATATCAAGTCGATCAAGGAGTGGCTGAGACCACAAAATGCTGCGGAAATAAGAAGTTCCCAATCTCGAGGTTGATTATCGAGTACTTGTGGTCGTATAAGATCGCATTGGCTCAGATTTCAACTCGGGGACTGCGGCACCTTATTGGGATTTTGGTGAGGAGCTTCGAGACAGAGAAGATCGTCACTCTTGCACACTTGAGAAATTTTTTGGAGATCCCACGCATCTCGGGTCCTCTGGAGAGATTCTATATTTCTCCGGCGAAGAACACTAGAATCATCAGCGGGTTCCCGAGCAAATATGAGAAGTACACCGTCACTTCTTCTTTGTAGCCTTTGATGAGGATTCTGTCCCGGAGGACTGCCTCGGGAGAATCATGATGAAATGGGCTAAAATCGGTAGTTCAAGGTAGTTTTATGATTACTAGTTATAACTTGATTGTTTTGACTAACCCTTTCTTGTTGTCGTTTTTTTTTTGTTCTCAGATCGAGCTCCAACCTTTCTCGAGCATATCTCTGAGGACTTCTTTAGTACGCACAAGGAGTTAGCGGCTCGGAAGTGGCACTGGCTGAGACATTTCACGCACAAAAGGGTCGAGAGAGCTTTGAGGCTTTTACACGATGCGCCTTGTCAATCCTCTTCTGAGTCATCAGACCAACGAGCCAATTTCTTTGTTGAGATGTAAGGAGTAAAGATGACGCTGCAAAAACTGATTATTGTTTTGGATGATTATTTGATATATGAACTTAAATTACAAATTTAATTAATATTTATGGTATAGTTTAAGGAACTAAACCTAAAAGTAATTATTTTCCATAACTCAGTTGATATATGAATGAACCATATAAAGTGGACGTTTGTTGTTCTTCACTACTTAACAAAAATAATTGTTAAAAATCACATCAGAGAATCTGAGATAGCGATAGATACTATAGTATATAAAAAAAACATGTTTACTTAAAAAGAAGGGTTATTATCGATTTGGGGCTTTGTTGGGCTCAAACTTTCAATTTGAGAACTTATTACCCAGCCTTTCAATTTGAGTATTTTTTAGCTAGGAAAAAAGACATTTTTACCCATGTTTTTTGTATCTCTTTCTCCTTCTTCTCCCAACTCGTCTGTATTTCCGACAACAATCATCACTCGTCGTGCTCCGTTAAATCCAACACCATCATCACTTTCAACGCCATCAGCACCATCTCCTTCTTCTCAGGAGCCTAGCTAAACATGATGCGGTTTGGGTCGTGGTCGATTGATGGACCAAGTCTGTGAGACCCCATCCCGGACGTCTCGGCGTCCGGCGACCATGATCACACGTTTCTGCCGCTTCCCGGCCAAACCTCTATATTTATCGCGATTTAGCATATAATTGCCTTTACGAGGCTTAATTCTATAATCGATTTCTTATTACCCAGCGGAAGTCTTTCTATCTTTGGTTTAATTCCAACCAACCCTTGTACCGATTTTATTGTCTTTGTCCCTAAGACTAAGATCGAACCTTTAATCGGTCAAGACATGCAATTTGTTCGCTAACCATTCTAAGTTTAACAATTGCATATTCTGTTATCCTAATTTCAACGGCCTATTCCCAAAATGTCTAGCTTAACTAATAAGTTAGATTCGTTTTCATACCTTGGCCAACATGCAGAATCGATTCCTCTTCGATCTCTCCATTGATCCTTCCCTTAGCCCTTTTGTTGCCTTATTCCATTTGTTCAACGATTCTTAACCAATCGTGTATTGATGGACCAATCTCTATAGTTACTTAGCCATACATCCAACCAACCCCACTGGTCAAAGTCCCACGATAGAGATTGGGGATCGTACGTTTCCCTTGGTTCACGGTGGCCGAATCAAGCTCTTGGCTCATTGGTCTATCCGTCTTCCAAACGTATGCCCCTTCAATTTCATGGTGGACAATCAAGTACTCCGCTTATCAAACCATCCATGTTTTTGATCCGGTCATTTATCACTACGACCGCCCACGGTTTACTAACCGTTTACCCGTCCAGTCCATGGTGGTCAGTAAAGCCTTTGTCTTATCGATCCATCCATGCGATCCGAACAATATCATTATCACACCCAAGGGCCCGTGGATTCATCCATCGGATCATCGTAGGCTAGCCCATAAATCCGTTCATCTGTCAGCCTTTAGTTTGCTCACGGGTCCAACATCCGTTTTGTCCATCGGTTCTTACCATAGACTTTCCCATTGGTTATCCGTTGAGTCACCATTGGTCTTACCGATACCCGATCGGTTCACCAAGGTTGCGGCGATTGATTCATAAAGGCGGCCACGATGTTAGATCCTTACATGGGAACCACGTGCCTTACCCATTCTTGGTTCTTTCTCCCTTTCTTGGTGAGATTACATCCATGGGCGACCCTTGGGTGTGTTCGGTTACACTTATCTTTGTGCTTCCTCGAACACCTTTCCCTTATACACCTATTCGATTAACTTCGCATTAACCGTATCATTCCTCGATGATCTGATTTGTCGGATGATCCATCGATCCTATAATCGAGCTATCGATCCGAACCATCAATCAAATCTTGAACTCTCCGGCGGTTTCCATCGAATATCGACGATCGATCCGTCTATCCCGGTCGGTCGATCCATCGATTAGACTATGCGATGGTCCATTCGCTCTGTCTCCTTGTTAGACAAAAACTTCCGGTTCACGAAACTCCGGAGAGTAGCGGTGCAACGGAAGAAAAAGAGACACTGAATGCACCACCATCGGCTCAAGAGCAATGGGATACGATGAAGGCCATGATGGCACAAATGGCCGCATTGACTAAGGCACTTGTACTGGATCCTGTGGTACAAGTGAAGGAGAACAAAACGGACGCGGATGCGGACGTAGATGTGGAGACTGTTGAAGTCAATTTGCCTACGAACTCTTCAAGGAAGCGGGGAGACTACTTGAGTTTACTTGCGCACGTCTCGAAGTTGGGAACAAAGCATTTCACGGGGAGTTCCGACCCGATCGTGGCGGATGAGTGGAGGACTCGGCTCAAAAGAAACTTTAACTCCACTCGATGCCCGGAGGATTACAGGAAGGACATTGCGATCCACTTCTTGGAGGGCGATGCACATAACTGGTGGCTAACCGTCGAGAAATGGAAAGGTGATCAAATACAATCCTTCGCGGATTTTGAGGAAGAATTCAACAAAAAGTTCTTCCCACCGGAGGCTTGGGACAGACTCGAGTGCGCTTACTTAGATTTGGTTCAAGGGAACCGAACGGTACGCGAGTATGACGAAGAGTTCAATCGTCTTAGGCGATATGTGGGGAGAGAACTCGAAGATGAACAAGCTCAAGTTCGTCGTTTCATCCGAGGACTAAGGATCGAGATCCGTAACCATTGCTTGATTCGAACCTTTACTTCGGTGTCCGAATTGGTTGAGAGGGCAGCCAACGAAACCGATGGACAAGAAGAGGAAGAGAAAC